GCCAATTTGACGGTTGTTGGAATGCATGAGTTCAACCCTTTCTGTGTTGTTAAGTGTTGACTCACAGGTTTTGATAATTGACAAACACAATTTATTCAAGTCAAGATCAAAGTGCTACAACGACAAACACGAAGACTTGAAGTGCCATTCCTTGAAGTATTCAAGAAGGTGCACAGGATTTTATTGGAGTCCGAGACGCGTTCGGAGCGCCTAACAAAGGACTCGGAGGAGTAGAAGAATTCCGAAGACTTTTTATTTATTTGAGTCGTAGGAATATTTATAAGGATGACAAAAATATCTTCTCTCCAAAATCATTTTTATGAGAGTTAAAATAAAAATTATATTTATTTTTGGAGTCAGTTGAAAAATCCTGTTAACTGTTCAAAATAGTTTTATTGAGTTAGTCACAAAAGGTGTGCCAAACATTTATCAAATATTTATTTTGATAATATAAAATATTTTTGGTAAGCAAAAATATTTTATTCAAATATTTTTCATGTACATCGTTTGACACACAAAATATTTTTGAGACTCAATTTCTACACCAAAATTGTATATTTAATTCAAATTTTGAATTTGAATTAATTCTTTTCAACCCTTTTGGTTTGTTTGTTTTTGGGAGCCTTATCACATTCAAAATCTTGTCCTAAACAAAGCATTAAGCTCCAAATATCCATCCCACTCGCACACATGCTTTGGGTCCTCGTGTTTGGGCTCTGTCCGTCATTGGATTGATCCTTCCTTGTGGATCGATCATATTGTTTTGCGCTCAGGGATTGGGATCGATCCATTTCCCTGGATCGATCCGCCGAAGGCTTGCGAAAATTCTTTTCTAGATTTTTGACTCCTTTGGATCAATCCTTTGCCTTGGATCGATCCCCCGAAGCTTTGGCAGAAATCTATTTTCGGAAGTTTACTCCAGTTGATCGATCCTCAGCCCTGGATCGATCCCCAACGTCTTTTATCTGCCAAAACCAGCCTTCCCTACTCCCAACGGATTTATTTCTTTTTCCTCTATTTAAACACTCTTCTTTGGTCTTTTTTAAGTACAAGAAACACTCCAATACTCCCCATTCTTGAGGTGTTAATCCTCCATCAATCTTTCCTCAAATTTATATTATTTTGAGAGAAAACTATTTGTTTTTAAGAGAGTGTTTTGTCATCCATTAGAGCTTTAATCATTTCTCTTATCTACTCATTTGAGAGCTATTGTTGAGAGGTTGAAGAAGATTGTTCTTCTTGTTGTTCAAGGCTTATGTGATTTAAGTCTTGGTTGTGAAGTCTTGTAGAGGGCATATCTATGAGCGGTTGTGTCGAGGCTTGTGGGATTCAAGTTCTCGAGTTGTAAACGGTTTGTTAAGCACCCGTAAGCTTAACGGAAGTAGTGGTAGCTTCGAGAGAGTCTCTCGGGGTACTGGACTAGCCACGAGGTGGTGAACCAGTATACATCGGTGTGTTCTTTGCCTTCTATATTTTATTTCCGCCGCACTTACGTTTATATTATTAATCCTGCGAAAATCGGTAAACATTCTCAAACAACTCTATTCACCCCCCCTCTAGAGTTGCACGCCTTGTCTAACAACGGTCACCACCATGACGGTCGACCGCCAGCCGCGACGGAAGACCACGGTGGACCGTCGACAGTCCAGACCCCCATACCATAGCCCACGGTCGACTGCCGGTAGAGTACGGTCGACCGTTCCACAGGCAGTTTCCCCGGGCAGTTTCTAAAACGAGTCCGTTGACCATATTGACCCAGAATCTGATCGTTCGTTTGTATGAAATGTTAATCCTCATTATTTATGTTATTTAATTGATATATTCTTGGCGTCGACCAAAGGTAAATATATCAAGCATTCATCTTGTTCATTCTAGACGCATGTCCTAGGTTTTTCATCATGAGCATACTGCTGTAGGGTGGTCAGGCTTTCGTGCGCCTACTACAGTGGGCCCGTCTAGGAACCTGTGGGATCCAACGGGTTTTCATCATGTGGGCCTTGTGTACGTACATATTAGTCAGGTTACGGCTACTACCCGGTTTTGCTAGTCCACTTGCAACGTTTACGTTGAGCCCGACTCATTACCGTTTCGGTATGATAACCGGAGTGCAGGGGTGATCCTGTCAAGTGAGACTAAGCCAGGGGTGTCCGTGATAGTTTAAGTCATACATCAAGTCATATCATCATCATGTATGTTTCCATTCATCTTGTTATATGAAATGTTACCCCAATAGGTGAAAACTAATCAGTTAGTAAACATGTGGTTTCCGTACGTTAAGAACAGGTATTAACATGTATGTAACCATATAGGTTATCACTTTATGTTCTTTTATTAGATTCACTCCTCAGCTTTTGCTGAGCATGTAGTTGTTTTTACTACACGCAGGTAGACATGACGGTGCGGGTGCTAACCCTGGAGGATAGTGATGGTGGGAGGATGGACGGCGCATGGACGAACTTAATATTTATATTTACTTAATTAATTAATCATTTGGGCATGAACCCACCACATGTTGTTTTACTTATTTTGGACTGAACTAATTTATTTACTTCCGCATTTACTCTGCATTTATATCACACACGTTTTAGGGTTAACTCCCTAGCATTTATTTCACCAATTAAACGTAACCGTTTTCATAATAAATAGACATTAATGCTTCCTTCTCTACGGACGGTTCTCGGACCGCCCATGTAACCCTACCGGTCCGTTGGGTCACGGGTGAACCGGGTCCACGGAAGGCGGATGTTACAATTTGGTATCAGAGAGGTTCGGTTTGTTGAAACACGGTTTATCACGTTTTCGTACTAAAGCCGTGTTCGTTTTTATGATAGGTTTTGATAATGCCAAACTACTGTGGACAAGACAAGTTGTTGAATATACAAGTCTAGAAATAAATATAAGAAGAAAGCAAGAGAACAAGAGCTAAAAGAGACCAGGAACGAAGACCGTAGTCCTTAGCATCGTTGAGTCGGTCACAATGTGATCAAGACCGACCCAAGCTATGCACTTTGGCTCTTTAGGCTAAAACATTTTTTATTGCATTTTACATATCATCAAAATTATTTTCAAACATGCTTAAACATATTAAAAACACTTGGTGTTCGCCCAAACCAAAAACCAAGCCATCCGGGGTTCGGCTTTCGAAAACCGGTGTTCGGTTTTCTGAAACCGGCGTTCGGCATTCGGTTATCGGCGTTGGATTTTGGCGTCCGAACCAACCAATTGGTTTTCAACTTTTTATGATTGGTTTTTACTTCTGGGCACATTAAAATAGTTTTCCATCAAAAACACTTCAAAAACCACCTTTCGTTTTTTATCGTTTGACAAAAACCATGTGAAACAGCATTAACTTGGCTAGCCGCGGTTTTTACTTAAATGAAGTGGTTTTCGAGTCTTCTTGTGTGGGAATTGTTTTTGAATGCATTTAAATGGTTCTCCAATAAAAACATCATGAAAACCACCTTTCGGTTTTGTCTTTTGGTAAAAACCACCCGTGTCATTTAAGGCTAATTCATTCCTTGTTTGAAAGTCAACCTCTCATCCAGCGATGGGAAGCATTTACCCATCGATGGGTAGGCGACCGTTGGCTTCAAAACTGAAGGAAAATTGGCTTAACAGCGATGGGTAAGTCCATACATCGCTGGGAAAGCCAATATCATGCAGATCCACATTTTAATCAATCCCATAAATCAAGCCAATCATCCCTTTAATGCCTTGGTCCGTTGGAGCCTATTTTGGCACTATAAAAAGGGGTGTTTGGGTCTGTTTTTCTCACAAATTCACTTCACATTATTCATATTATCATTGCATTCAAACAACATCATTTTTCATAGCTTTCTAGAGCCAATTTGTGTGAAGTTTGAGTTGTTCTTGAGCGTACTTAGTTTACTCATCATCTACTCTTAAAGAGAGTCTTGTTCTTGAGTGTTTAGTGTTGTATACACGTTAAGGGAAGCTTTTTTCCCTTGGTCTTACAAAGGAAAGGTATTTTCCTTCGGATTGAAGTCTTGGAGTGCGGTATCTCCGAGCAAGTGTTGTTGAGGCTCGTGGGACTCGAGTTCTCAGGTTGTAACGGTTTGTTAAGCACCCGTAAGTTTAACGAAAGTAGTGTAGCTCGAGAGAGTCTCTCGGGAGACTAGATTAGCCACACTTTGTGGTGAATTAGTATAAATCTTGGTGTGCTCCCTTTATGCTTTCTACGCTCTGTACGTTTCACGTTCTTAATTTTTTATTCCTGCGATTTCTACGATCAAATGCTATTCACCCCCCCCCCTCTAGCGTTGGTCACTTATTCTAATACGGTTTTTGTGAAAAAAAACATATTTTGTCATTTTGGTCAAAAGGTATTTTTCAAAAAGTCCACAGCCGCATCTCCCATCACATCACTCCTAGGGAAAGGTACACCGTTATTTTATTCACATATATGTCATATTGTAATTAGTTCTGATTTAAACTCTTCTTATAGAGAATGAGCCAAGCAGCAGGCAACGACGGACAGGCTATCCTAGAGGGGGGAGCTTGAGCACGAGAGCGTGCACACGGAAGCGTCAAGCTTCACACCGCAGCAGGCCTCCGAGCAGGCAGCCCCAGGCGCGGACCCTGTTCCAGAAGCCGTTCCTATCATTCAGCCGCAGTTCGCGGCTAACTTCATGAATTTACTCCAATAGATGGCTGGAGCATTCTTTCCACCACCGCCACCACCAGTGGCTGTGGTCTATATCGAGAAGCTCCGGAACAATGGAGCTGAGGAATTCTTGGGCGATCAGATCGCCGACCCCATGATCGCTAAACAATGGTTTGAGCGAACCATCCGAGTTTTGGGGAACTTGAGGGTTCCACAGGATCAGCGTGGCGACCTCGCAGTTGCCTTACTCTAGGATTCCGCCTACGACTGGTGGAAGCACGTGGGAGAAGACGTCCCGGAGCCCGTGCAGTGTGACACATTCAATCGACTCTTTCATGAAGAGTATATATCCCTGAGCACTTCGTCGAGGCGAAGCGAGAGGAGTTTCTGAAGTTCACTCAGGGTGAACTCACACTACCTGAGTATTGTCAGAAGTTTGACGAGCTCGCGGGGTGTGGGCAAGACCTCGTCCCGACTATGGAGAAGCGGTGCAAGCGCTTCGTGGAGGCTCTACGTCTCAACTTATCAGCTCATCTGATCACTCCCCCTCGGGTTGACATCAACGCATTGTTCAAGCATGCGTTGGACATGAATGCGGCCCTCATCAAGAAGGCTGAGTATGAGCAGATGCAGGGGGCGTCAGCAGCACCATCTCGTCCTCCTCCACCCCAGAAGGCGGAGACCAGTAGCAAGAGGTCCTTTGCAGCGCCTAGCAGCTCCCACCAGAGCAAGAAGGCTAATGCCGCACCTGCACAGTCATCAGCATCTGTCCAAAAGAAGGGCAAGAGCGGGGATGGGTTCCGTAACCCGATCTGCAACCATTGTGGGCGCAGGCACCCGGGAGAATGCTGGTTCACTCAGGGCATGTGCCTTGGGTGTGGCCAGGCCAGACATTTCCGCAGGGATTGTCCGAAGAATCCGGGTGAGGCGTTGTCATCCGCACCAACTGCCACGGCTCCAGTAGCGCAACCCGCCAAGATCCAGAAGTCGACAGCAGCATCGAGTCAGCCCAAGCGGCAAGCATCTAGTACCCAAGCGGGGAAGCCCCCAGCCCGTACGTACGCGATGTGGGGGCGTACTGAGCAGCCAGCCCATGACGTCATCATGGGTATATTTACCTTATTCGATACATCTATCACAGCATTGATTGATCCGGGTTCCACTTTATCATATGTGTGTTTGCCTATGCCTGTTATGCCTAACATTTCAAGGGAAGACTTGGATAATCCGGTTATTGTGTCCAACCTGTTGGGACACAGTTTACGACTCACCCACGTGTATCACAACTGCCCATTAGTGGTCCATGGAAAGATTTTCCCTGCAAGTCTCATTGAGCTTCCACATCGTGAGTTTGACGTTATTCTAGGCATGGATTGGCTCACTGCCAACCAAGCCGTTGTTGACTGTGGAGCGCATACTGTTCGGCTGAGAGCCGAAGACGGTAGCGACGTTCTAATTCGTGGTGAGCTTCTCCCGAAAGCTCCAAAATTTATTTCCTACATTCATGCTCGCCGACTCATTCGCAAGAAGTGCGAAGCATTCTTATGCACAGTTCGTGACACTCGTCAAGAGGCACCTAGTAGGGGAGACATCCCTACGGTATGTGACTTTCCCGATGTGTTCCCGGATTACTTACCCGGCCTACCGCCCCCTAGAGAGGTAGAGTTTTCCATTGATCTAGTTCTAGAAATAGGACCAATCTCAATCACACCTTATCGCATGGCACCTGCGGAAATGAAGGAGCTGAAAGCTCAACTGCAGGAGTTACTGGATAAGGGCTTCATTCGTCCCAGTGTGTCCCCTTGGGGAGCACCAGTTCTGTTCATCCGCTAGAAGGACGGGTCGATGCGGTTGTGCATCGATTACCGTCAGTTTAACAAAGTCACCATCAAGAATCGCTATTCGCTACCATGCATTGATGATTTGTTTGACCAGCTGAGAGGAGCCACAATCTTCTCTAAGATCGATCTCCGATCAGGATATCATCATATTCCCGTTAAGAAGGAAGATATTCCTAAGACGGCATTCCGCACTAGATACGGTCATTACAAATTCACAGTCATGCCGTTTAGTTTGACTAACGCACCAGCTGTGTTCATGGATCTGATGAACAGTGTGTTCCGGAAGCATCTTGACCAGTTTGTGGTAGTCTTCATCGATGACATCTTAGTGTACTTCAAGACACAGGAGGAGCACGCCGAACACTTACGCATTGTCTTGAGCATTCTTCGGGAACAACAGCTTTATGCCAAGCTGTCCAAGTGCAAGTTCTGGCTGCACGAGGTTACCTTCCTCGGCCATGTCATCTCGGCTGAAGGTGTGAAGGTAGACCCATGTAAGATAGCAGCAATCACGGAGTTGAAGACTCCGCGTAATGTACGAGAGGTGAGGAGCTTTCTCGGATTGGCAGGCTACTATCGCCGATTCGTGAAGGACTTCTCCAAGATAGCGTCACCATTGCACAAGCTGATGAGGAAGGACGTCAAGTTCGTTTGGACTGACGCTTGTCAGCAGAGTTTCGAGCAGCTGAAGGAGTGTCTGACCTAGGCACCAGTGCTAGTCCAGCCCACTCCAGGAGTGGAGTATATAGTTTTCAGCTAAGCGTCCCATAACGGTTTGGGATGTGTTCTTATGGAGGAGGGCAAGGTCGTTGCTTATGCATCCCGGCAGTTGAAGCCGCATGAGTTTAATTATCCGACACACGACCTTGAGCTAGCAGCTATTATACTTGCCTTGAAAATCTGGAGGCATTACCTCTACGGTGAGACGACGCGTATCTTCACTGACCATAAGAGCCTTTAGTACTTGTTGACACAGAAGGATCTGAATCTCCGACAGAGAAGATGGTTGGAGTTGATTAAGGACTATGACTGTCACATCGCTTACCACCCAGGTAAGGTGAATGTGGTAGCCGATGCCCTTAGTCGCAAGACTCTAGTTGTGTTGCATGTTCAGCCTACGTTACGTCACCAGATAGCATCAGCTTAGAGCAGCGATGAGTTTTGTATCCAGACCATGGAGCTCGTCTCTCGAGGCGAGAATCTAGATTTCGCAGTTCAGGATGATATCTTGTACTATCGGGAGCGTATGGTAGTGCCAGCGGGGGAGGTGAGAGAGCGCCTGCTTCGTGAAGCACACAGCACCGTGTATACCATGCACCCGGGTGGTAACAAGATGTTTCATGATCTTAGGAGACATTACTGGTGGCCCGCGATGAAACGGGAGATCACAGAGTTCACATCGAGGTGCTTGACTTGTCAGCAGGTCAAGGCCGAGCATCAGGTTTCGTCTGGATTACTTCAGTAGATTATGATTCCCGAGTGGAAGTGGGATCGTATTACGATGGATTTTGTCGTGGGACTGCCATTGTCACCACGTAAGCACGACACCGTTTGGGTCATCGTTGATTGACTAACCAAGTCAGCTCATTTCCTTCCCATTCGTCGTGACTTTCCATTTCAGCGTTTAGCGGAGTTGTACATCCGTGAGATCATTAGGCTACATGGAGTTCCATCGTCTATCATTTCGGATCGAGACCCTCGATTCACATCGCAGTTCTGGAAGAGCCTATAGAGAGCATTGGGCTCCGATCTCCACTTCAGTACCGCATTCCACCCTCAGACAGTCAGTCTGAGAGGGTGATTCAGATTCTTGAAGATATGATGCGCGCGTGTGCGATTGACTTCGGGGACGGTTGGGAGAGATATCTACCGCTCATGGAGTTTGCGTACAACAACAGTCACCAGGCTAGCATCGGGATGGCACCGTATGAGGCTCTGTACGGTAGACCTGTCGTACCCCTACTTGCTGGACAAAGCTCAGTGAGAGGAGGCTGGAAGGGCCTGATCTTGTACGTGAGACCGAGGAGAAGGTCCAGGTGATTAAAGACCGACTTAAGGCGGCTTCGGACCGACAGAAGTCCTACGCCGACCTTAAGAGGCGTGACATCGAGTATGCAGTCGGGGATAAGGTTTTCTTGAAGGTGTCGCCTTGGAAGAACGTCTTACGTTTCGGCAAGAAGGGAAAACTTAGTCCGAGGTTTATAGGCCCGTACCCAGTCACTGAACGGGTGGGACCTGTAGCTTACAGGCTTGAGTTACCATCGGAGCTGAGCAAGATTCACAATGTATTCCACGTGTCCATGCTCCGAAGGTACCGGTCGGATCCTTCTCATGTGATTCCAGCTGATACGGTCACACTCGATGAGAATATTACGTACGAGGAGGAGCCGGTTGAGATTCTGGCTCGTGAGATCCGTCAGTTGAGGAACAAAACCATTTCGCTGGTCAAGGTTCTGTGGAGAAGTCACACTGTCGAGGAGGCGACATAGGAGACCGAGGAATCCATGCGCACTCGTTATCCACATCTTTTCGTTATCCACAATGTATTCCACGTGTCCATGCTCCGAAGGTACCGGTCGGATCCTTCTCATGTGATTCCAGCTGATACGGTCACACTCGATGAGAATCTTACGTACGAGGAGGAGCCGGTTGAGATTCTGGCTCGTGAGATCCGCTACTCAAGGTTCTGTGGAGAAGTCACATCGTCGAGGAGGCGACATAGGAGACCGAGGAATCCATGCGCACTCGTTATCAGGCCTCTCTGGACTTGGGTCTCCTAGACAGAACAACTTGACAATCGACTGTCAAAAGGTGAGAATCGATTATCACAGCATGCAGGACCTCGGGGACAGAAACTGCACAGCATGATAATCGATTATCAGGAATCGTGATAATCGATTATCAAGAATGGATAATCGATTATCTGCAGTTCTGAATCCAAGGCCATCATATTGTGCAAACCGTTTCATATGGAATTAAACCTACATGTATGTGTTGAACTTCATCCATCAAGCAATGCATTCATATCATCATGTATATCCTAGACGCATGTTTTGGATCATGGCATACTTTGCATACCGCGACAAGAGGTCAGGCCTAGTGCGCCTCTTCCGCGGGCCCGTCCAGGAGCCTGCAGGATCCAACGGGAAGACTATGGCGCCTCTTAGCTATCACCCACATTCTAGTCTCCAACGGGAAGACTATGGCGTTCCTCGGCTCATCTACCGCGTGGGGATGATCACCGAAAGGAAGGGGTCCTGCGCAGTCTAACTCATGCATCATAATGATTTGGCATTGCATCGTTGTTTATTGTAAGCTTTTATCAAACTTGAATATGGTATCTCGTACTTTAGTATAGGTACTATTATGTTTATATCAATTTCAATGTACTATGTGTTCTACTGTTAGATTACCACTCAGCTTTTGCTGAGCGTATAGCGTTGTTTCTCTTTGCTATATGCAGGTAGGCCAGAGGATCATGGAGCCTGACCCAGACGACTGGGTGATCGGGGCGGCAGATGACCGACAGTGTGGACCTGACTATTTATCCATTATTATTTAAAACTTGTTTTGGGTTTGAACCCACCGTTGTTGCACTTACGTTATTTATGACTTAACGGCTTAATTTACATTTACTTCCGCTATAAACATTTCTTTTAGTGAACTCATTTTCATCATTTAATAAATATAGCAAGGGTTCTTCAGTTACAAGCAATGCAAGGGTTTTCTTGTAGACGGCCTTAAAAACCGTCTACGAAACCTCTTCGGCTCGTTGGGCCATGGTGAACTGGGTTCGCGGGACAGCGGGTGTTACATAATGGGTTATCCTCATCTGTGATAATCATATTAATTCCCTCATAGGATTTACCTGGATTATCTTTTTTGTGCTGAAGATAGCAGAGAAGTATTCAACAGCTTCTTTACTGATTTCTTCCTTGTTGGAAATGAGACTTCCATCTTGGTTTTCTATACTCCTTATTATAAACTTTGCTCTTTTTCCTTTTACAAAGGAGTGATAGAATTTGGAATTACAATCTCCCTCCTCCATCCATTTAATATTAGCTTTTTGTTTCCAAAACTGAATTTCATTATCAGTGGCTCTAATGAGCTCTGCCCTGGCTTTATTATCTGCTTCCCTGTTGATTTCTGAAGGATGGAGTTCAAACTCTTCCTGTGCCAATGTAGCCCTATTTTCAGCTTCTTTGAGTTTAATGAAAACATTACCAAACTCAACTTTATTCTAGGTCTTAAGGACATCCTTTAGACGTTTGAGTTTACTGACCAGCCCTTTCATACCTCCAAAATTTCTTTTACAAAGGAGTGATAGAATTTAGGCATCAAAGGATTTTATATATATATATATATATATATATATATATATATATATATATATATATATATATATATATATATATAAACAAAGAATATGCCACAACAAATGTTTAACGTACAGTCACCTCTACCAACTTCAAGCTTCCAAGGTCTAACCTAATTCTGAATGATACCTTTCTGGAGTTCCTAATAATCGCTAGAGAGTTGATGGTAAGTGTTTGTATGGAACGATATGGATATGATGAAGAAACTAGCCAAATCCGAGAGGCTTGTCACCACTGACGCAGTCTCGGTATTTTAGTCATATCTCTTTCATTTCTTAACGGAATCACAAATCATTTGTTGTATTGGATTCGTATAAAACGAGACTACAACTCTAATGAAGAAAGTGTTTCGAAATAATAAACGGAAACTATCATAATATTATCACAAGTGGTCTGAGATGTTGAAATCAGGAATATATGAAACTTGGATTGGTTTTCTTGCTTCTTGGATCAAAATATGGAGCTTCAATGATGAAAGAGTTGTGCTTCCTTGCTGTTGTGATTCACGAAAGAAAGGAGAGAGGGAGTGTGAGTGATGGAGGCTAAGGGACTTATTGGCAATTGAGGTAGGAGGTTTTAGATTACTATATAGAAAATGAGAATTAATGTTTAGTGGAGTAAATAATGAGGCTATGGTATCATTAGTGGATTAGGAAGGGGATGTGTGATTGCTAAGGAGATTTGGGAAAACAAGGTTTTAGACTTATGTCTAAACTGAGCAGTTTACCCCAAAAGATACGCACGTTTGCCCAAATTGCTCCGAATTGAATGAAACAGTGAAAACTAGAATTATGACATACTTAAAATATTTTTCTGAAAACTTTTATTTTTCAGCGTATCAGTTTGTCTCAGTCATTAATTAATACAATAACAACAAATTAAAGCTTTATCCCACTACCTAGGGTCGGCTACATGGATCAAATGATTCCATTGCACCCTATCGTGTATCATATCTCCTGTGAGATTGTTCACGCAAAGGTCTCCCTTAATCAATGTTTTCCAAGTCCTCTTAGGTCTACCTCTACCTCCAACCACATGCATGTTCACCATTTAATCAACCCTTCTCACAGGATGTTCAAGTGGTCTTCTCTCCACATGTCTTGCTCATCCAATGAATCACCTTCATTTCCGCCACACTAACCTCATGTTCATGTTCACCCTTTGCTGCCCAATACTCTGTCCCATACAACATGGTTGGTCTAATAGCAGTACGGTAAATTTTCTCTTTAGTTTTAAAGGTATTTTTTGTCACATAAAAAGCCCAAAGCACTCTGCCATTTTGACCAACTGGCTTGAATCTTGTAATTAACATCGTCCTCTATTTCTCCATTGTCTTGAATGATACACCCAAGATATTTAAATCTCTTTACTTGTGGTATAGTATTTTCTCTAACTTTCACCTTGATGTTAGTGTCTCTTCTTCTAATGCCAAACTTTCACGCCACAGACTCTGTTTTAGTGCGACTTATACGCAAGCGATGCAACTCTATAGCATGTCTCCACGAATACAACTTCTCATTCAAATCCTCTAGTGATTTGATCATAAGGATGATGTCATCAGCATAAAGCAACCAATACTAGTTTAAAAAAGATGTGGGCTTAACGATGACCCTTGGTGTAATTCCACACAATGAGGAATTCCCCTGTTATCCCAGTTTGACTTTTCACACTCGTTGTAGCCCCCTCGTACATGTCCTTAATCGAATGAATATAAGCAATCTTTGCTCCCTTTTTTCTCTAGCCCCTTCCACAAAATCTCTCTTGGTACCTTGTCATATGTCTTTTACAAATAATAAAAGCCATGTGTAGATCATTCTTTTCACTTCGGTACCTCTCCATCATCCTTCTCACTAAGATATAGCCTCTGTAGTCGATCTTCCTGGCATAAAACCAAATTGGTTTTCTAACACCGAAGTCTCTTGTCTCAACCGCCGTTTAACCACTCTTTCCCATAAGTTCATCGTATGACTCATAAGTTTGATCCCTCTGTAGTTTCCACAAACTTTGAATATCTCCCTTATTTTTTTAAATAGGAACCAAAATGCTCTTTCTCCATTCATTAATCTTCTTAGATCTTAAAATTTTGTTAAAAAACCTAGTTAGCCACCAAATGCCTTTTCCTTATAAACCTTTCTAAACTTCAATTGGAATATCGTTTGAGTCTAGTGCTCTTCTATTCTTCATTTGTAGGGCTTTATTAACTTCAATTTCTCGAATTCTTTGATAGTAATTGGAGTTATGGTCCTCCTCCCTCGTGTGTAGCCTATCGGAGCATGAGAGATTCACATGCTCCCCATTAAACTGATCATTGAAGTAGCTCTTCCACCGGTCATATATGCTTTCTTCAGAAATCAAAATTTCACCAGTCTTATCTTTAATGCACATAAATTGGTCCAAACCTTGGATCTTTCTTTCTCAACTCTTTGCGATCTTTAATTAATATTTAATTTAATTACTTCTGATAGATGTTAATTCGGGGTGTTACAATCACATTCTAAAGAAACATGTTGGACCTATTCCATAATCTCCTAGGCCCTACACATACTTTTGAGATCTTAATCTCATTAAATGCATCTGGATTGTTTTTGCTACTAGTATTTTGACCCGTGCGATGCACGGGGTCGAACGAAACTGTTGTCGATTTTGAAATTTTTCAATGAAATATTTATTCCAGAATCAAGTAAATATATTTCTGTCACAAATTTTAATCAATGGAAAACAACGACAAAGTATAATATAATATTTGAGAAATTGAAAGTGTACTCGAAAAAATCTTTTTTAATTTTAAATTTTTTGAAAGACTTTAGTGTACACAACATTTTTTGTATCGTTGTAAGCGTTTTTTTTTCATCTAGAACCAATATTTTTAATCATGTCTTTTTCTTTACTCGTGAAACAGTAACATAAAGCTAACCAAGAGTAAATCCCGAGTTGGTTAAAAATAATATAGCAAAAGACAATGTTTGACATTGACTTTTGTTTATAGTCATAGCAAAACATAAGACTATTATATTGAGAATTCTATCAGATGATACCAAATTTTATTCAGGGTATGTAAACCTTTTTCTCCAACGCGATTTCTCGAAACATCAATTACATTGATAATGTTCTTTCACATATCTTTAATTATTAATCTTTTACCATTACACAATCCATATATTTGGTCAATGTTCTTCAATAACATAATCGGTACCCCCTTTTAAAAACTATTTTATGGTTTGAATCCCCTAACTTTTGATTTCGTTAAGAAGAATTGAACTGTTATCTAATCGTCTTCAACAACTACATCTAAATATATTTGGCATGAAGAATGAGAACTTAAGTACTCTTTTTTACCTCTTAGAATAAGGGATATGACAAATTCATTTGTCATTTAACAAATTCGATTGTGGGTGCTAATAATGCACTATCCTCAAAAAAAGAATATTTTTTCATGTTCTCTAATAGGTTTGGATAAGTAAAGTTCATTATACTCTTGAGGGGGTAACTTGTGTCAAGCATCAAGAATTCAAGCGGAATTTCAACGTCAATAGTTTCATCGATCACTTGTCCAAGTTTTCCATGTTTGACTTTGCTTATCAATACAGAAAAAGATTATGTGTCCCTATCAAGAGCGTGTAGATAAATGCAATCTCATATTCTTAGCTAACCTATAAACTTTACATTACAATCACATTTGTGAGAATTGGTGGTAGCACCCACAATTTCCTCTCTCTACGCTATGAGTAGACCTGAAAGAATTTGGATAAAATCACCTCTGAGTATAGCTGTTTTTCCTCCGAATGGTTCATTTATGATGTTATTATTAAAAAATCTCATTACATCTCTCATTTTTCCGAAAAAAATTAGTGGGTGACTCATGGTACTTGTCACTAATAATGTGACGAACAACTTTTTTAGCAGATTCCCACATCTTGACTTAACAACCTCTTTCATACCTTCAATAAATTCTTTATCAACGGTTAATAACCTCTATGCTTCACATTCTTCCTTGAATGCATTATGTAGAACATTGTTAACTGTCCTCAAGCGCTTATAATTTGTACATCCTTGTTGGACATTTAATACTTCTCAAGTAGTATAACTCTCTAGTTTCTGTAAGCACGTATTGTAGTCTGCCTATTGACGGTCGTTGTTGCCTTTGAACTACTTCCGCACTTTGCGGTTGTACATAAAATATTCTCGAAACTCTTTGCATACGTCAAATTTTATCCCGCATTATATTTTGTATTGAAAATCATCCAAGCTTCAAAAATTGAGGCTTTATCAATAATTTCTTCGACAACATCTTTTAGTTTTTGTTGGTGTCTAAAGGTTACGAATT